TAGGGAAAAAATGTGCAACAGAGCTTCCAGAGGGCAAAAAAGCTGTCTCAGTGTTAGCTGAGGATGCAGTTGTTTCTGTAAAACAAATAACCTCTGATCTCTCTTAAAACTTCAAAAACTGGAGAAAATGGGTACTTTAAAATCTCTTTCAAGTTCATCTGTTCTCAAGATCATCCCTCTTTCATGAAGTTTAGTTGCTACACATTGAACAGTTTGTCCATAAATCAATCAATACAAATCCGATTGTTACAAGAACTTTATTTCTATGTCAGCAAAATATCCTGAGAATGGTATCAAACTGCATTCAGTGCTTACTTTTACTGTGTACTGTTAGTGTAAAGTAGCAGACTTTCACAGATCCCTAAGGAATGTAGAACTCATATGCTGCTCTCTAACTTTAGAACTCAGAAGCCCTTTTTCAAAATACTTCAGACTGTAGTGTTCTCATACTACAGATGTAGTGGGAACACCCCCATTCACAGATACATTTATTTCATATAATCCCAACAGCAAAAATGAAAGAAAACTTGTAAAATAACATATAGCCTAATGGAGGCAGCCAGCTCTTCTATTTTCTAAACTATTATGAACAGGAAGCATAATCACCTAAGAGGATAGTGCGGTTACTCTTAGTACGCAGTTAAGTGCTCCACTGGCATAACCAGCATCAGTAGACTACAAAGTATTCTGTGCCTTACTACAAAGATCATAAATACAAATCTCCCATAAATTCTCCACTTCCAACACCCCGTCTCTCAATTATGTTTGCATTGTTGAGGCATATTTCAATATTGCATAGTTCTACACAGGTAAGGTACTACTGCTTGCATTGTTGTTGCAAATGGCTACATTACTCTTAGATGGGTACTGTTACCACAGTAAATCCCATAAAAATAGGTAGACTTCAAACAGATCGTTAAACGTCTTAACTTGAAGATAACAGTGCTCTTGAGTAACGTTTCATTTAATATAATTGCTGAGCTTGCAAAGGCTTTTACATCATTATCAACCTCACAGCCGAGCTGCAAGTGTTAACTGTAGCATGTCCTGAAAACACTGGAACACCGTTCTACACAGCACTTCTGCATCAGTCTCTGGACACGATTTCCAAGCAGAACAGGTAATAACGATCCTATCAATATAGAAAACAATGACGTTACCACTCTTAATTGTCATGGTCTAGGATGAAAGTGATGCAAATTGCCCTGAAATGTGAAATTACTGACAGTAGTTCTGAAGCAAAAACTGACACAAACATACTGTCTCAACATTCAAGAAAGACTCAGATCTCTAGTGTCTTCAGTAAGCAATAATGCTGGCAGATCTTGAAATTAGATACTTAGATTTAAATACTCATTTCTACATACACAGGGACATGACTTTTCCATTTATATTTGAAAATACTGTGAAATACATTTCCTCTTTGGAACCAGTGTAAGGTTTAAAGTACTTTGTTTTCTATTTACCTAATAAAAAGTAAATCTTTATCTAGTTCTATTTATCTTAACAGAGCCATAGATCAAAGTATAAATGGTTTGTATACTCAAATGGATCAGATCTGCACACAATCTGTATTTAACTTTAGGAAGAAGCCATCCAAATTACACCTAAATCACAAAATAGAAAGTTATCTCAACACATTATAATCAAAGTAGTTTATTAAATTTGATAAGCAATAATTTTTGTCTGCAAGACCAATACTCCAAAGTTGGATCTTTTCAAATCCTACCATTTCATGAGAAGTGAAGCCGGACGTTTTAGCTTCTCCTTGTTAAATCAAAGAGGTTTGGTTTGAGTCCAGAGATGTCTGTGTCACTGCCAGTAATGCCAGTGTCCTCAACCATACTCTATCCAGTCTATCTCAGTCAATTGCTACTTTTTAAAACACATCTTTGTATGATACATGTAATGATCTCTAAAATGAAAACTTATTTTAAAGCTAGTTAACTTCTTTTGTTCCTCCCTTCTTTCAACTTCCTCACTTTTCTTTCTGCTTATTCTCAGTACCTTGGTGCTCACTTCACCTCTACAGTTCGTCCTCCCTCCCACACACACTTTCCCAGAACATTAATGCCTCTATTCCCGTGTACTTCACTTCTCAAAACTTTTCTGACATGTTCAGCCATGCTTGTCTTTACCTTTCCTCATTCTAGTTGTTAGCCAACTTTCCCTTCATGACAGAGATAAAACCACATCCAGAATGAAATTACATCCTTACCTGTCATCTCTGATTGAATAAAAAAAGCCATAGCCATGAGCTACCATAGGGAGTGCAGATCCACTGAACCTCGTGTAGCCAGTCAGACTCGTTGAAAGAATAAAATTCCCACCTCCTCCACTGTAAAGCAACACAAAACAAAGCCAGCACTTTTAAAGACATTTTAAAACAAAGTGAACTTTAAAAAAAAAAAAAAAAAGTTATTTTCTCCTAGAGATCAAGAAATCAGCAAGCATAAGGCCAATGTAACAAAGTCCTCAGTATCAACGAATACAACCTCAACCTCCCCGCAGGACAAGAATACAAATTACCTAGCCGTGAAGGCCTTATCCACATAAAGTTCTGGCACTGGCAGTCCTTGCTCCTGTGCTATGAGGAGGAGACCCAGCAGATGCCGATCAAAACCTGTCAAATAAATGCAAATACTGCATCATTAACAGCAGCATTTCCAGGTTTTTTTGCTCCTTCTGGTCTGGATATCTAGCAGCTCAAATAGCAGCTGAAGGGCAGATAAACAGCAGTCTACTAAAAACCAAGATTTGTATTGTAGCATGCAAAAACATTTCCCAAATATTTGATCTCAGACCCCTTCATCACTTTCAGTTTGCAACACTGAGCCCAAATGCAAATGAACCAGTACAAACCGAGCACAGTTCCTGTGGAAAACAAAACCCAAAAAACCTTCCATTTCAGCCAAGGAGGAGGAGTTGTTCCACACAGGGGAAGTGGCCAACAAGAGACTTGAAGGGCCACAGCTGCCCAGATTGCTCACCAAGTAAGATGGAGAGAGTATGAGAGTTCATCAGGTGAGTATTTCCCAGCTACTCTCTCTCATTCGTGCACCAGCTTAGTACACTGAAACAGGTGAGTTTGAACTTCACCCAAATCTCTCCTCTGCCTTAAAAGACTGTATTTCCCACTTTTCAGCCAAGCACATATATGATCAGAAGGTATTCCAAAATAATCTTTAGCTGGGCAAAAAAAGTGAATTAATATTTAAACTAAACATGTTTTTGGGGCACAAGGCAGGGTGCAAAGACTAGGTTTTAGTTCCTCTCTCAAGAATTGAAGTACAAAATGGTAAGGGGTAGTTTTTACTCTGGTAGAAAACAAGAAAACAGAAAAAAAAAAAGTATTAGCACACAGCAATATTCCCTTTTCACCCACAAAAAAAAGACAAAACAAAAAACTTTTGATTCCCAAGTACCTTTTCCATTCTCACATTCTTTCCTCATTTTATTGTGCTTTGCAAATGCCTTATGCATCAGCTGCAGTCGTTGGTAAGTCTGTGTAAAGTAAGGGAACAGGATTAAAAATAAAAATTAAAAAAAAAAAAAAAAAGAAAATACAATCCAGATGAGTAACACATCAGGAATCACAGATCAGCAAGTTTTTCCCATTCACAGTTTCTAGCAATTCTAGATAGAGGAAAACAGAGGAACTTGAAAGGGACATAGAACCTCTCAAACTCTCTCTCTCAAATCCAAATTCCTTTCTCAGGAGAACTCGTTCATTTGTTTCCTGTATCTCTGTCCTGTACCTCCTGTTCTGTTTCTTGATTCACTTTTGCACTGA